CATGGAGTCCCGAAGCAAAAAAAAGAACATGCCGATAAGGCAGGAGGCCCCCCTGCACAAAGCCAATTGCTTTCGTAATCCGGACACTGCTTGACTACGCAATACTCTGCATTCCCGTACTTCTTCAGGCCATGACAGCCTTATCCCGCTCAAACTGCCATCTTAACAGCAGGCTTTCTACACGATTGACATGGCTAGAGAGACATCAGTGAGAGGCAGCTCATGCTGGGCCGGTTTTCATCCAAGCGCCACAAGGTGCACCGAGCGAGCCAGGCGAGCGCGTTGGGATTTGGGTCGAGGGTCCGGGATTTAGGTCACAGGTTTAGGGTTTCAGAAGTGTGAAAGTCTTTGAAGCTTTCTTGTCGCGATTGTTTTGTTTCAGGGTTTAGCTGGCCCAGAAATTAGGCCAGGACCCCTGCTTCGGCAGATTTTGCTTGGGCTCTTCGACCGCAGCAGATATACGCCGTTGAAACCGGTCTTGGGGGGGGGGGGGGGGGGNNGGGGCTGTTTTGTCCTTCTCCATCTTGGCATCACTCTCCTGAAATCACGAAAGCATAAGCATTGGCGGCAGCGTTGTCGAAGCACTTCCTGTCAGTGGCTTCTGGACACCGGCTGCCCTTCAGAATGAATGCCGGAAGGATTCTGTATGGGTCGTAAGGTTCAGCAAGACTCAGCCCCCAACAACCGCAGGCCCTGAACTCCTCAGCGGCAAGACTCACCAGCTGAACTATTCAAGCTTCGGGCCTCCACACCTGCCAAACTCGAAGCATGAAGCGTAGGTTTGCAGTTTGCGGCGTTGACATGCAAGTACCAGCAAAAGCCTTACACAACGAACGAACGCGATCCCTGCATCCTAGTGACTAGTGCGCAGGCAGCAGGAACCCTCAAGCGGCACAATCAGCGCCATCCGAACCCCGCCAGTCTCCAGGCCTGGGGGGGATCTCGAGTCGTGGAGTTGTGTATTGCTGTTCTAATGATGATGATGACGATGATGATGGTCATGCTATTGTGATTATAAGTAGTTGTGATTTGGTCTTGGTTCTCCAAGTTAGAGGTCCTTCTTCCCACCCGGAAACCCGAGCAGTAGGGCTCCTGATATTACAGTTATTATTACAGAACCTACTAAGGGTTTAGGGTTTAGGG